CTTTGGAACAGGCTGCCCAGGGAAGTGGTTGAGTCCCCATTGCTGGAGGTATTTAAAAGACGGGTAGACGTGGTGCTTAGAGACATGGTTTAGTGGTGGATTTGGCAGTGCTAGGTTAATGGTTGGACTCAATGATCTTAAAGGTCTTTTCCAATGTAAACGATTCTATGATTCTATGAAATGCCAAAGTAAACTGGGTAAAGGAGGAGAAACAAAAGGAGCAGGAGGTGTCATTGATGAAGGTGTTATATTTTTGACTGAAATGCAAGCAAGCAGACAGTACAATTAGGCAAAATTGTTATTTTTTTAAAAAAAAGTAACGGCAAATATAATTATGCTACATTGCTTTCTTCCATTTTTTATCTAGATTCTTTCACAAGATCCTGCTGTTCTAAGAATCAACATACTAAATACAGCTAAAATATTGGCTCAAATGGAAGAAAGCTCTCAGCTGCTCCACTGGTTTCTCCCATTTCCCAGTGGCTTCCTGAATTCTTACATGGTGGGCCAAAGCTAGGGAATGTGTGAGAGCTAATAGATGTGCAGTGCCAGTGGGTACCTGTGGCCACAAGAAGGACAGTGTCAACTGAGATAAAAAGTAATAGCAGCCAAACCAGTTCCTTTTTATTTGCAGACAGTGTTTTGCATGGCACCAGTGGGATTCCCATTCAGAGCCGTAGGAGTCTCCATTCATATCTAATGTTCACTAAAGTCAATTGTGTAGGAAGACACATGTAATTTAATCCTGTATTCTCACCAGCATCAAATTGACCAAAACATTTTTAGTGTGTCTGGTGTAGAAATTACTATTAAGATGCAGACCAAAGTAGGTAGAGATGTTATAATCTTTTCCTCATATGAAATGCAAAATGACACTTCATAAATTAAAGACAAGTCAAGAAGTTCAGCTACTCTATTAATAATGCTGAAAAACTGCTGCAGTTCTTACCATCACCATTCTATTAGCCAGTGGCATTATCTTGGAGGCTGTGAGCTGTAAAATGATTAACGATCATGTTTATTCCCACACAAAATTGCTGAGAGAGAGGGAATTGACTTACACTGATAGCAGCAAAAGGGAAGTCATGCATCTGTGACTAAACACCAAGATAAGTATCAGAGAGTGTAATGAGTGTTTAAATAAAAAATCAGAGAGTGGAAAGTGAGGTCTAAGAAAAGGAGAGGATGGAGAGTAAGGAAAGAAAAAAGGGAGAGAAAGGAAAAGCAAGAAGTGGAAAAAACAATCATCATATAACGAAAGCAAGAGGTTAGGAAGTGACCTTTGCATCAGCAACAATCACATGCTTCAATTTCCGTAATGTCTGGGTATGACCATGCTTTTTCAGTAATGATTCTTCACCATGTTCTGCCTCTTGTATCTTTGAAAATGCATCTGACAACATCTCAAGATAAATGATATGCAAAAGTGAGAGCAATGAAATGCTTCCCTGCTAACGCTACAGAGGCAATCCTGAGATGAGTAAATGGGAAATGATTCCTTTAAAAGCAAGGAACTTGAAGAATATTTGCTTCTTTTTTATGAAGTCAGCAACATCTGAGCCTTAATCCACCCTGGATAGACCACCCATGATGAGAGAAGGTAGAATATGTAAGCTGACAGCAAAGATCAGCCTGCAGAGGTGACATATCATGTGTGCATTTAATGCTCATCAGGTCTCTATTGCCCAGCTCAAGAAAGCAAACAACAGTCATGCCAATTAAAGATCTCCAAGTAGTGAAATGAAAAATCTTAATTTTTATCTTTATTTTGGTAGGGGAACCTCTTTCTTTAGTTTTCATTGGTGTTTATGTCTGTGATTGTATGGGTTTGTGGGAACTGCACCTTCAGAATTGTCCTGATACTTCCAGCACCCAACCTGTCACCAAGATTCAGCCAAGTTAATAAAAGTAACTTAAAAGC